CTATAGCCCTATAGCTCTCATCTGAGAGCTCAAAGATGCAGAAAGAGTTTTAGATATACCTGATTAGTTTTTATCTCCAGTTTAGTTCCATTCTTTTCTGATAAAAGTAGTGGGAAATGTAGCATATAAAAGGATTACAGTAGAAAAAAACGAGTGGTAGCAAGATAAAATTATTGATTTTTAATCATCCAAAGCAAAAGAAAAGCTCAGGAAAAAACTCTTGTCCAAGATTAATAGTTTACATTACTGACCTATTCTTAGACTAGAAGAACTAGGTGTTGCTCAGCAACCACTTGTTACCATTGTGACCAGGGCCACGGTAGATGTATCCTGATAGAATGAGAGAAGAATGTGGAGTGGAACTTGGTTTTTTTACAAATGCAGGTTTACTGCACTGATGCAGACTGGTATCTCAAGGTACTTTTAAAATCCTGAGCCCAAACTACCCTGGGGTCACCTTTTAGCTAAGTAACATTGTCTCACAAAATATAGCATATGACCCCCAAGTATTGTGCTCTGATAAAAGCAAACATGAGAGGTTAAGGGAGCAGGGAAACAGAAGAACCATAGTGGAAACAATGAACATGTGTATACAGTGTGAAGAATGTAGCTGTTGTCACCAAGCAATTTGAGCAGAAATTGTTGAACCTGATCTCTGTAAATTTTCATTGAAAACACAATTTTAAAGTCTTTATATCTAAAGTAGGTTCAAGTGACCTTTCCAGATGAGGAAACCAAGTTTTTGAATTAACGTTTTTATGTGACATCTCTCTCATTCATAAGCTTTGTTTTGTATAAGTTGACAAAAGCAAACGTCAAAGGTGGATGAAATGTTCTTTCCCCTTCATTTAGCAGATGGTTACTTCATTGGTTTTAGCTGAGTGAGGTAGCGGTTAAAAGCAGACAGATCTTAGTTGCATCCACTATGTCACCTATTGGATTGGTAACCCTGAACAAGCCAGCAAACCTCTTTGCTACTCAATTTCCTGTTTTCAAGTGGAGCTAATACTCACCAAACTGTTAAGGATTAAAATAAGATGATACTCTGATGCTTGGCATGGATTCTCACACAAGGGGAGCCCTCAGTAAATGGTAGATGTGGTTTCTACTATTTGTTTTGAAGCAGTGATCATGGGCATAGCATATATCTGACTTGTACTGGGAAATGCTATTACCCCAATGTTATTCTGTCAGGATTTTTACGAAATTGGTGTTGTTAGACTGTGTTTGTTTTCATTTTTATTTTTTCCCCCTTTAAGGAGCCGTTAGGATGATTGTGCTGGGTGGGCAGGGAGGAAACACAAACCAAGGTGGGAAAGGGCCTTCTGAGTGTATGAGCATTTCTGTATTAATTCCCCACATTTGATTCTAACTAAAGAAAAATCAGCAACTATTAATATTTAAAAGGGGGAACTTTACAAAGATTCTTTACAGAAATAATTTTTGAAATGTTTAGTATATAATGTGTAAATTGTTATTTTTTTCATCTATAACATATGTGTATGTATATATATATATTTTTTTCCCCCTCCTTAGGGTACAGCTTGTATGTATTTCAAGCGATTCTATCTTAATAACTCAGTAATGGAATATCACCCCCGGATAATAATGTGAGTAAATATGTTTAATTTAATGATTTACATTTATGAAGATGTTTATACTATTTGAGTGTGTGTGTGCGCGCATGCATGGAACCCTGGTGGCATAGTGATTTTGTGTTGTCATGCTAACCTCAAGGTCAGCAGTTTGAAACCACCAGCTACTTTACGGGAAAAAGACAGGGCTTTCTACTCCTATAGAGATTTACAGTCTCAGGAACCCAGAGGGGCAGTTCTATCCTGGCCTAGAGGGATGCTGTGAGTTGGAACCAACTTTATAGCAGTGAGTTTTGAGTTTGATTATATGTGTAGAAAATAACTGACTTTCTAATAAATAATTTAAGACTTGTATTTTGTATTCTACTTGGAACTTAAAGGATCCTTTTTACCTAAATGACTTTCCTCCATGTTATACTGATAGCATTTGAACTTCAGTTTGCCCAAATTGTGATTCCATTCCTTTTGAACTAGCTACTTCTCAAAATATCTCTTTGTTAGTGGTACCTCTCAGACTGAGAATCACTCCTCCCTGACCACATGTTTACAAGTGCTGCAGCGTCATCTTCACTTAAATTCTACTAAGATCTATTGTGTTCTTTTCTCATCACTGAAGATGTGATTCTTGAGACTTTTATCAAAGAGCTTATTGTCCACCACATTCCCTGTTCATTTCTTTCTTTTTTATTCTCATTCCACCAGTCTAGGTCAGTCCTTGGTTAATTCCAATATTGATCATTGCAGTGGTTTTCTTACTAGTTTTGCTCTGAACTTCTTGTGGCCAGGTGAGTTTTATAGGTTTGTTCCTGAGATGATGCTTCTCTATGCAAATGCATGTGGAGACTTCCATTGATGGCCTTTTACAATGTTTCTTTAACCTACTTTTCTGGTTTTATCTTCACACATTCATAGGGTACTTGAATTTGTGGTTGTTATTGTTGTCTCTTATATCTGCATTTCATGATACACGGTACTCTTACTGCTCATTGTGTTTTGGTTTTTTTCCTCCAGGTGTTGAGGTTAAACTCGAAACCCACAGGGTCACTCAGCCAATAGTGATGAAATATTGGTACTAATATGTAGGTCAGCCTAATTTTATAGTTCGCCTTATGTCTACTAGTAGATAAAAAGTTTGAATAAGAACTTCCCCTCCCCTGCCCTGCAGTGCATTACTATTGTCAGGTAAATTTAGGAAGTACTTGTAAAAATAAAATGTCTGTTCATTCATGTCCCTCTTTTCACCCTGATTTTTATCTCTAGGCTCACTTGTGCCTTTCTAGCCTGCAAAGTAGATGAATTCAATGTATCTAGTCCACAATTTGTTGGAAACCTTCGGGAGAGTCCTCATGGACAGGAGAAGGCACTGGAACAGATTTTGGAATATGAACTACTACTTATACAGCAACTTAATTTCCACCTTATTGTCCACAATCCTTATAGGCCATTTGAAGGCTTCCTTATTGATTTAAAGGTAAACTTCTTCTACAATCAAAAAAGAGTTTTATTTAGCCTTGTAATCATCTCGATAGTTACAACATGGCCTTGGTTAAAATGTGAATATAGTTTGGGTCTATGGGGCAGTATTTTTCCAATTTCAGTATGGGTGTGAACAGACTGTTGGGTGGGACTTTTAGAGTTTCTGATTGAGTTGATTGGCAAGCCCTAGTACAGTGACCATAATGGAAACCAACATCAAGCAAAAATCAGAAACATCAGTTGAGCAGCTCAGGTGGCATGCCTTCTATTTTCCAAGCATTGCCATTGAGAGAGCTAATCAGGAACAACACAGATGTTTGGGTGTTTCCGTCTTGTAGGGCAGACAGTCAAATACTAAATGTGCCAGTGCTGCTGTTGTCATTCAACGCTATGGAATCAGTCCCAGCTCATGGGACTCCACACACAACAGAATGGAGCAGGGCTGGTTCTGCACCACCTTCACAGTGATTGTTTTCTTTGGTAAGTTCTAAGTGCTATAGAGGGGCAAATAAAACACGCTGTCAGTATTTAGCCAAGAGACAGGTTGAAGAAGAGGGAAGGCATTCTTGAGAAATGTCATTTGAAATGCAATTGTAATGGAAGACTTCCATGGTCAAAGGCTTAGATTTAAGCATTTGTAGTACATGTAGTCAGTGCTTAGAGCTGTAGTGGAGAGGGTGCAGTGGAGTGCTGCTGCAGTATAAGGGAGTCGAATACGGGGTCAGGGTTAAGGATCTGCAGTAGTGCAAAGGGAAGCTAGTAAAAAGAAATTTTAAGTCTAGAGAGTATTATGATTATATTTGCAACTTAAAAAAAATTCTGGTAAGCTCATGTATTAGTTTGAAGATCATGCATAAGTTTGCATCAAACATTTAGTATACATCTCTGTGTGTTGGTTGTGATGTAGAGAATATTGCAGTGGCTAGAGGGAGACCAGTTAGGGTGCTGTCAGAGTAGTCTGGGCAAGAGATGGCAGTTGGTTTACTGTGTGGTGGTGGTGTGTATAGAGATAGCTTCCTAGGCTTGAGATACTTGGATATTTAGTAGGAAGAGTCTAAGGAACTTGAGGACTGGTTGCATATAGTGAGAAAAAAAGGAAGAATCCCAGGTTTCTGGCCTGAGCAGATAGAATGGTTGGTATTTAGGTATCACTGGCAGAGGAGAGAGGGTGTGTGTGTGTGTGTGTGTGTGTATGAGAGAGAGAGAGAAAGAGATGGGAGGGGAGCTGATTATTTGGATTTGATACATGGTTCTTTTGTATTGTGTGTAGGACCTCATGTTCATGGAGGTCAGAGAAGATGACTCTGCTGGAGGGATATAGATTTGGTTGTCACAGAATTTTCAAACCATGAAGAAAATGTAGGTAGGTAGAGAAATCCAAGAGGTTAGTAAGGAGAATGAAAAGCACCCAGTAAGAGGTAGGACTTAAGGAAGAAACAAAGACAGTAGAGTACTGTTATAAGGTGACCATAAGCAACTCTATTCCTGCACAGAATTCAGGCAAAGTAAGAGTGAATTTAATCTGCTTGCTGGATGTAGTTCCAGAAAGCACTGTGTGGAATTTGGAGGAGGAAGGCAGTTTGGAACTGTTTAGGAAGTGGACAGAAGTTGAGAAAACAGTTCTTCAACTTGGATGAAAATACATGCCTTTGAAGTAGAAAAGAATGATGATATGATTGAGAAAATGGGACATGCTAGAAATAAACAAGTTTTTATATTAAAAAAAATGTGTTAGAAGTGACTGATGCATCTTTAAATGCTGGTGCTGGAGAGCTAGATAAAGCTTAAATATAAAAGGAGAAACTGAAAATATATAGCGCAAGTTGACTAATTTACAGAACTAGTGAAAGAATTGACTTTAGAAGCAATGATAGTGCTTTTTCTTTTAATAGAAAGGAAAGAGCAAAGCATGGGTCTGTACTGTAGGATTGCAGATTGGGTAGTGGCAGGAAATAGAATACCTTTCATTATTAAATAAAAGGAGATCATTTTATGAGAGTAGAAGAGATCCTGAATAATCTCAAAGGCATTGACAGAGAACATGTTTTAGTGGATGCTAAAAAAAAAAAGGAAAGCAAACTGACAATGGAAATGTTATCATTAGTAGGCAATGTTGAGAGCCCGTTTGTGTAGTTTTGTAGCAGACCTTGGTTGTGTGTATTCTTTTAGTAGTAAACAAATCGGAGTGTAGATCCAAAGCAGAAAATTGTTGAGATTCAAGTACTGTTGAAGTTACTCCAAATGTGTTAGCAGTAGAATGGGGCAAGGAAGATTAGAGGGAAATGAGAATCAGAGGACACAATGAGTAAAAGCATCCAGAAACAGTTATGAGGTTATTGAGCACAGGAAGTCGGCCTTTATGGTCAGAGTGGAGTATCTGAATTTTCCCTGTCAGAGGTCAAGTGTTTTGAGTGATGGCAAGGTCTGGGGGCTGCATGATTGACTAAATTGGTTGCTTCAGAGCCAGGATAAGATTTCTTACTGCTTCTGGTCTTAAATATGGTATCTGAAATAAATCTGAGGTTGTAGGGCTTAATATTTAAGGATTATTTATACTCCAGCTATGTGGTCTTCACTATTTCTTAGACTTACTTTAGATAGTTCTGTAAGGTTTAGTACATCATGCTAGCTAAACTAGAATGTGAACAAAAAAGAGGCAGACCTTCACCGAGATGGATCGTCCCAGCAGCTGCAACAGTGGGCTCAAACACGGAGACACTTGTGAAGATGGCGCAGGACCAGGAAATGTTTCCTAGGGTTGCTTTCAGTTGAAACCAACTTGGAAACGCCTAGCAGTACATGTATTGAAAGGGAGCCTGGTGGTACCGTTTTTAAAGTGCTCAGCTGCTAACTAACAGGTTGACCAGTTTGATTTACCAGCTGTTGCTCTGCAGAAGAACAATGCAGCAATCTGCTTCTGTAAGGGTTAGTCTTAGAAACACAGTAGAGCAGATCTACTCTGCCATCGGGTTGCTATCAGTTGGAATTGATTCAGTGGCAACAGAATTGCTTTTGGTTTATTAGATACTTGTAAAGTTTTCCTTGTCCCAAAAGTAAACTTTAAATAGAAGGAATTTCAAATCTAAATGAGGTGGTGCTTTGGATTTAAATGTGGCCTTATAATTTTTATCACATGGATCACTGGGAAACTGTTACTTTGCAATATGTGCTTTTCTGGTTTACTTCAGACCCAATTTAATCTCCTAGAACCCTTCTTTCTCAGATTAAAAAAGGACAATGGAGGGATTAACAAACTGAGCATAATGTGAAGTTCTATGCTGGGAATTCTAGAAACACCCTGAAGCATGTCTATCTTACTGTGGGCTGTACTCATGACAGTTTGAAAGCCTCTGAGTTATAGGATCATATCAGAAGAGAGACTACTAAAACATTCAGAATTTAGTGACTGCACTTATGCCATATTCTAATGATTGGTACAAAGAACCCGTGCATGCAAAGATTATTCTTGCTGGGACAAAGAAAATGGAATTGTTATAAAAGTATTCATATTAAGGATGTTCTGGTGAAGATAAATATGGAACTGTTGTTATGTTATTAAACTCTCAGAGTGGTGCACACTTCCTTTCTAGACACGTTATCCCATGTTGGAGAACCCGGAGATTTTGAGGAAAACAGCTGATGACTTTCTTAATAGAGTGGCACTGACAGATGCGTACCTTTTATACACACCTTCCCAAATCGCCCTGACGGCTATTTTGTCTAGTGCCTCGAGAGCTGGAATTACTCTGGAAAGGTTTGTGCTTCAATTGGATGAAGGAATACAGGTGGGGCACTGGATTATTAACCGAGCTGTCAAACACACACCAGCCACTTCAAGGGGGAAAGGTGTGGCAGTCCCTTTCCTTAAGGTTACAGTCTTGGAAACCCTAGGCAGTTCTGTCTTGCAGAGTTGCTGTAAGTCAGTATCAACAAATTGGCAGAAAGTTTGGTTTGACTTTGAATTAGATTAGACTTCATTCACTGTTACCTGCTCCATGGTACCTGTATTTTAACTACGGTACTGTTTGTGACTCTGGTTCTTCATGTCTCTTGTGGCTGGAAGGTTGGTGAGAACCGCTGACAGAATAAGTGAAAATACCTTTTACGGATATCTTTTAAGAATTGAGTTAAAAATCTCTTATTTTCAGAGGATACGGTTATGACTAAAGTAAAACAGGTGATCTTCTAAAACACTTGATAGAGCTATCAGATGTACACTTTTTTTTATGGCAAGTCAATGCTTATGTAGAAAGGGATGAAACATCCTTAGGTCCAATTAGAATTCATGTCATCTTAGAGATTTAGTTATAATTGTAAACCAAACCAAAGGCAATGCGATCAATTTGATTCCGACTCGGAGAGGCACTAGAGCAGACAGGACACAGTTAAACTGATCCGGGCTTCTCGGGCTGTGAACCTTTACAGGGTCAGATTGCCCTAGCTTGCTCTTGCAGAGCAGCTGGTACGTTTGAACCCATTTCAGATACAACTAGACAATAAAACTGTAATGGTGGTCCCTTGGACTTTATAAATTAAATTAACCTTTGTGGAACGGTGCATTACATGTTGGACTGCGAATCATAAGATCAGCAGTTTGAAATCACTAGCTGTTTTGAGGGACAAAGATGAGGCGTACTAATCCTGTAAAGATTTAGTTTTGGAAACCCATAGGAGCAGTTCTACTCTGTCCTTTAGGTTGCTGATAGCCAGCATTAACTTCATGGCAGTGTGTTTGGTTTGGGGTTTGTAGCTTTCCCAGGGAATAGTTATTTTGGTGCCTTCCTCTACCACCCCCCACCCCCTTCTTTGGGAACGCTTTCAAATAATTTTTAGTTTAAAACTAATTTGTTGGCAACATTTTGGACTACATTGCTTACATTTATTGCTGATTTCAAAAGGGAAGGCCAATGTGCTTTTAGCACATTCCAGAAGGTAGATTATTGCTCATAGTATGTTTTGTTTTTATTGTTAATTCTGGTTTTCTTCCATTTCATTTGAGTTTAATCTTTCTCACATACTGGTCTGACACTAAGATATTCTTGTCTGGAGTTTTAAAAATCAAAATTAAATTCTAATTCACAATTGAGAAAAAAAATCATAATTTAACAAACTTCACAAAGGTAAAGATTTCTGGTCAGCTCCTAGAAGCTTTCAGAATCACCCTGTGCTTAAACGGAAAAGAAGAACCAACAAGATGGCAGAAGTGTGAGAAGTATCAGGGGGAAAGGGAAGGGAAAAAAAAAATGTCATTCTTTTGAAGTAACCAGGAATGATGGTAGGAATGCATTTGTTGTTACATTGCTCTCGTTGTGTTTGAAGCCCTCTGATGTGAGGAGGAGGAGGAGCAGAATCCTATCAGCACAAATGAGGTGGTGGTCCAGTAGACCTCTACCCCCCAATATTTGACCCCCTCTGACACTAGCTCTCCCTCCATGGCATTCAACTTCAGGTTTCAGTAATTCATTAGTGGCCACACAACTCAACACTCGTGATGACAGGGTTTGGTAAGGAAATAACAGGGAATAGCCCATGATCAACTCAGGAAGCTATGGAGGCAAACTCAGGAAGCCTTCTTCTAAGTAGAGAGCATAGATCTCTCTCCTCTCCAGCACAAGACAGCTCTCGTCACCACTCTGCCCGCTCCCTTTCAGCCGTGCTGTCCTTGTCTCAGCCTCTCCGGACAAACCTCCTCTAGGTCCTGTCAGCACAGGCTGCATGGAGAGTTCAGCCCCCACACAATGGGCTTTTTGGCCATGTACACTCCTCTCCGCTGTGCAGACCGCTCCACCTGTGGTCTCCCTGCTGTCCACCTCTCCACGGCTAACTGGCCGTCTCATGAAGAGGGAAGCAGTCTTCTTGTAGGTCACGTGGTTACATTCCTTTCAGTAGGCCTCTTGCCGTCTTCAATGTGAATGAAGCCACTTGTCACAGTTCTGTGTGGGGTTCTTGGACTCCTTTCTCTCTCTGCTGCTTCTCCTTTTTCCTCCTTGTTCTCTTTCCTCCTGAAACTTCCGTGGGCTTGGTTGCATATAGCAGCAAACTTTCTGTCAGCTTCAAGGCATGGTGGTCCCAGCAAGGCCGTGAATGAACCAATCCTGGTGCACTGTAGTCACTTCATTTGCATAGTCTAATTACTTTATAAGGGGATTTCAAGAAATTCATGGAAAAATGGAATAGTAATGGGAGTTTTTGAAAAACTTTTTGAAGCCCCTCATATTTACATAATCTTTAGTATATTGACCAAATCCCTTCAGATAGACCAATCACAGGGCAAGTTGCAGCCCAGGTGTCAAAAATATCAAACCAAGTTTTTTATAGTTTTCTCAGGAAAAGTCCATCAACTTGGATAAAAGTAACCATCCTCTGAGTTAGAAAACAAGGGCAAA